CGGACATCGAGTGTTGATAAGGATGGGATCATGCAACACCGCAAAAGAGAAGAGAGTGAACCCAATGCGGCGGCGGCGACAACAACAACAACAACAGTTTTAGTAATCATTTTACGATTTATTCAACTTAATTCAAAGACGTTGGTATACTGCTGATAACATGTTTTGAACGAGTTTAAAACAAGAAAGATTAAGACAAGAAAATTGACTAAATGGTGGCGGCGCCAGGGGTCTTCCCTGGACTTCCATGGAATGCCAAAGAATTGCTGATCCATCAATATACTGCTGCTAGCTATTGTATATTTATTGTCATATTGCTATAAAATTGCACATATGAATACCAATGAAGAAATTCCTGGCTCCGCCTGACTAAACCGAGGTGCAAGGTTGAGACCGAGGCAGCTCCTGCTTTGGTGACGAGCAGTAGTACACGCTGAGTGATGTTCTGGTGAATAATCCAAATTTGGATTTGGAGCTGGAGTCGGCTTGACACGAAGTACGTCAGTCAGCGGTGCGGTCTCGTACGTCACACGTACGTACAGCAGTAGAGCAGCGGTATTTTTGTACGGCGGCTCACAAACTAAATTAAGGGTGGGGTCCAGCTTGTATCCACCTGCTGCATGCGGCCGCAAACTTGGCACGATGAGATGGAGGGATACACACGCAGACACATGCTGCACGCATGCTCATGCCATGTTCCAATCTTTACTACTAGTATACTAATCTAAAGTAAATACTGAAATAAATTCAAGAATAAATGCGAGCATCAGGATTTGAATTCTGTTGGCCTAAGGATACCAGAGTTCCTCTAACCATCCAATTACATGTTGATTCGCCGAGTAATACTTTCTTAGTACGTTGATTCGCCGAGTAATACTTTCTTAGTACGTGTATTAAATTGTTACGCTTGAACAAATTTCCCACTTCGTTGTTTTCTTTTCTTTTTTTGCTTATTAAGGTAGATGGAGTAAGTAACAATACATGCACACGTGCCAAATAGCAAATAAATAAATCAATGGAAATGTGCTGAACATGCCACATAGGCAGAGCTGAGGACAGGAGTGAGGGTCGTCCGTTCCGTTGGCACCCGCCGCGAGCAACAGTTCCCACCGAAAGGGAGGGAGGGGGGAGAAAATGCAGCATCCAATTTTTCAAGAAAAAACAAGAGCCACACTTGCCACTTGGTTCGGCTTCCTCGGTCCATAATCCAAGCAACCTACAACAAAAACACACATCCTTCCGCACAACGGCATTGCCAAGAGAGGAGGCTCATTTTTACTCACACGCAGGAAGTAGTCAACGCCATCGTAAAGTTAGTATACAGTTGAGTCACTTATTTTGGGATGGAGGGAATGCCAAAAAAAGAAAACTTCGGCAGAGGAGAACTACTGCTTATTTTGTTTTGTGGGGGCACACCACACCACATCAGACTTTACCGGTGAGTGTGCTTTCATGGTTTAGGAACAACAGAGGGAAGGCATTTTCCCTGTGAGGAGGGGCACTCATTGGGCCACCGGCCAAGTATGGAGATGTAGCGTAGGTGACATTTGCCATCCATTCCATTGCAGTGAGTGCCAAGCTAGTCTAGTGGCGGTGTGCCCCTAGCTAACATCTCTCTTCCTTCCTGCATCTACAATCCAAGCAACCCCCCAAAGAACATGCATCCTTCCTTCATGCCAAGAGAGTATGAATGCTTGTTTCCTTGGGCTGCCAAACCAAACCAAACCAAACCAGAGGCTCGTCTTCATCTTCATCTTCCCTTTCTTTCTTTCAGCAGTAGAAAGAAAATGTCTGGTTTCTTGGAAGGGGGATGTGGGTGGTCCGTGTCCCTGTTTCTTAGAAGATGATGCCACACCACACCAACTAAAGATCGATCTGAGTGGCCGTAGTACGGTGCGTACGTTGCCCCCAGCTTAGCTGAAACACATGGCACCGGTACTAACTCCTAGTCATGTCACAGATCCTACTTACCTTTTTCCCCTTGAAGAGGGACTAGCATTTTATCCAAAGAAAATATGTTGTACTAGTACATTCTTCTCTTCTCTTGTGGCAGAGGAGAGGATGATGCCACACCACACCAACTAAACATCTCAGTGGTGCTAGTACTACTAGCCAAGGAAGAAAACATATGGAAATAATAAAAAAAAAGGAGCTGTGATCAATGGTAGCACTCATGCCACAAGCAAGCAGGTCTTGTACTACTATTCAAGGCAGTGCATGTGCTCACTGGTCTGCCTGCTGCCTCCTCCCTCCAGCTTTCCCTCTTTGATGTTGCCACCTTTTGATCATCTTCACCAAACTCATCATCAGCAGGTGGTCCCATCCATGCCAACAGTATCCAATAATTTCAACACGAAAATATGTAATGGTTTCGTTCAAGCAGAGAGGCTGGGGCAACCATGATCCCAACACCTGTTAGCCTCTGCTAAGCATGATTACTTGATCAGATTGCCCAAGCAGAAAGTGGTTTAGAGGACAAAAGTGTGGTACTTAGCAATGATCCATCCAGGAAGCAAGCAGATGCTATGCCGGTGGCCTTTTTGATGACACGATGCTTTTCTAAAGTAGGAGCTGGTAGGTATATATTAGTTAATGGGAAAAGAAGGTGAGATGATTAATAAATAGTACTTACTAATAAAATAATCCAAGGAAAGAAGAAGAAGGCTTTTTTAATGATGCTTTGTCACCGCACCAGGTTAGGTTCCAAGCATAACAGACAACATATGCATAGATTCTGGGGGAACTAACCGGATTATTGTCAGTTAACAGTATCCTGGAACCAGGCATATATTTCAGGTTCTGTCTGGTTTGTATGGTTCTTCATAGGCAAACTGCACAAAATCCACAGCTTATACATGCTCACCAATGTTTGTTTCTTTTGTCTTTCAACATGAGTCACTCTCTCGTGTTAATTAGCACAAAGAAAAGATTAAAAAGTGTTCCTTTTTTTTTCTAACTTTGTAGTATCTTCTGGCATTATGTGTGTGAGCTGTGAAGCAGCAGGCAGTGGTGTACTGGTGTGAGTCTGAAGCAAGTACAGCTTCCTTTCCTTTGAGGAGATCCTAAGCAACAACACCAAAGTCCCTCTCTACTCAATACTCAATACTCACTTGCACCATACCACATATCCCACAATGGCCAACTGCCACTCAGAACTGCTTGCTCTGCCTTGCAACTGAAGCCTATCCAGTATCCAGGCAAGCATACAAAGCAAAAAACAGATGGAAAATCTCAAGGATCTACTGCAACTTTTTCCTCCTTGCAGTTTTTGCCCAGCTCCTAGTAACTAGGAAGGGGAAATAAATTGTTGGAAGAACAGTGGTGTACTGGAGTCAGAATCAATCAGACACCTTGTTGTTGTTGTTGTTGTTCTTGTTGTTGTTGTTGTCAGTTACTAGACCTCACCTAAATGTCCTGATTTGATGACCAGAGACTACTCTTGGCCTGATGTGTTGTCGACTAGTACCACTGGTCACTTGCTGGGGTGGTGAGGTGAGTTTGGTGTGGAGTATTATGTGAGAGGGTCATCAGCTACTCCCCACTTAATGATAGTAGCCACTTACAACACTGCTCATGGACATCACACATATGTGTCTATTAATGTCTGTACATTTTTGTTTCATTTCTCTTCAGTCCATCCCTGTACAGGCAATTCTGCATGTTGTCGTTGTGGGCCAACCAAAAGCTGTGGAGGAAGCAGAATACCAGTATGCTACAACTAAAACAAGATTTCATTTGGCAGCACTATAAACTAAAACAAATGGTTTAATCATCTGCCAGCTCATAGCATCCCCCAAATCTCTTTGCTTCTTTTTCAAAAGAAAGAAGAAGGAATTCCTTGCTTCTACTGTTCTACACTGATAGATGATGGCGAAACTATCCTGGTCTAACAAAGGGCTATACAGTAAGTACAAAAAAAAGATTTTGTTTATTCATCCAGAACAGGTCTTGCTTGTCAGCAGCTGCTACTATTTATCCTTACCTTTACTTTGCTGGGAACAGTTAACCTGTACCGCGAAAGCACTGCACTCACTGATCAATCTTGCAAACTCAACTACATCGAGATCTGCCAATAAATAAATAAAAATATCATTCATGGAACTGCTTCAGGTAGTGCGTACCTGGTTATCACCCTCGTGACCACTTCCACAGAAACTTTGTGACAAACCTCGCCAGTTTTCGTGGCGAGGTTTGGCCGCAAGTCCTCTGAATCATTGCATGATCTTGGATGTATAAGTACTAACAATAGTGTTCTTGCAATAGGCCAGGCGTGATAAATTATGCCAGAGCATGGTGGTTTGAACGAAGATCTTCTCCTAGGGTCATGGCCCGCTCTGCTGTACGCTGCCAAAATGAAGCATCGTGATGAGCAAATCAGCTAGAAACCCAAGCTCAACTGTCTGTTCTGATAGCCAAGTTACCTCGATAATGCCTGCACTCACACCTGCGCCAGTGTCACCGCCTGTCCAGGATTGGGAAGAGAAGAGCTGTCAACTGTTAATCAGTATCTTAACATGTCATAAAAGTACTGGAGAGTGGTACTGAGCATTATCACCATCTAATTTGGTCAGACTTGAAGGATGCAGATTTTAGCCAAGTACTGCTCTGTATAACGTCAGACAACTAAGTGGACTGTTCCTTGAAAAGTGGCGAAGTCACTATTTTGGGGCATTTGAGACAGACATCACAGGGCTACATGGTCAGAGTTATCATATTTACTGTGTGCCGATTCCTTATCTTTTCTTCTTCTCTCCAACAATTAAAAGAACAAGAATTACACAGTTAACAATCCATATAAACACCTCATGGTGCCAAATATCACAGGGCCTTATAGGTTTGTTACAGGCTACCACTGTTCAAGATTCCAGTATTGTGCAGAAGCACACATGCTATAAATAAGTTGAAAGAGCTGGTATACAAAACTGCTAAAATTACGATGAAATCAAGCAACTTCAAAAACCAGCCTCTGGGACGCAGCATTGAACTTCAAGATCTGGTAATCAACGTGGAACTGTAAATGAATCAACCGATGCTGGCTTAGCACGCCACCGGGCAAAAAACGGAGCCTTCCTAAGAAGCTCAAGCATCTGCTGGTACTCACAAGCCATATCCTGCAACACAGATAAGACACCTTAAACCTTCACTTCTTGTATTCATAATCATGGCTCACAAAGAATCAGAAATCATTTAATGTAATCTAGCTGTGTGGCTTCAGCTCATTATGTATTTGAGTGATTAAAAATCTTACAGTATAAGATGAAATACCTTAATTGCACGATAAGAAAGCTTCTCATGCCGGAATTTTGTGACTAACGGATGTTCAAGTGATACGAAGGCCTCTGCCAATCTTATCCTGCCATCAGAACACATATTCTCATGACAGGTTTACATCAGGATGCTAGGAACGAGAAAGGAAACTCTCTTACTTGCAGAGCAATGACTCAGTGGAGGGTGAGGATGCTGCCTTTGAAGATGTACCTTGTTTTCTTCCAGTTGTTCCTAAAACAACTTCATGCAAACCGGATTTATTCCAGCACATTGAGTACCTAATACATGAACGGAGAAATGAGGAGGTCAACCAAAAAAGGTGCATACAATACAAATACGAACAAAATGAAAAGGAGCTCAAAATGGCAACAAACCATATAACTACCCGCAAGTCAAAGGCGGTATATCTCCTGAAGTCTGTTGAAATTCTTTAGGGGGAACAGGTGCCTCAAAAAAGAGTGGCTGCAAACACGAAAAAGGTCCACCAACATGTCTCGTGAAGAATGTACAGTCTCACTACAGAACTAGAAGGAATGAAAAGCAGGTAACCAACCTTGTTCGGTTTGAAAGGGTCAGGGAATTTACTGGATAGACAGGACAAACGAGCACCAAGAACTTTTACAACGTTATCTTCAATACAAAACCCTTCAGGTGCACCATCAGATGATTGTCCAATGGTAATTGTGGACAAATACAAGGGTTCGAGAATGTGTGACAGCAGTGCACCTGTAGAAGAACACAGGCACAAAGTCATGACAGTTCATTGAGTAAGAAAATTGAACACTTCGTAATCAGGTGCTCGTGAAGAGGCAAAAACATAACTGGAAGAGAATAATAATAAATGGTTGGCACTTAAAAGTGTCTGCACCATATATTGGCATACATCACATGATTGATAGTTTAATACCATCACAAATACGGATCAGCAAATGATTCTGGAAAACAAACCTTGAATCCCGACGACACACCAGCGAGTAATTTTGTCAAAACAGCTCACTGACAATGTTGTATCACCACGCCCAGGCTTCCTCTGAACGAAACCAACATCTGATATGCAAAAGTGGTGCGCCGATTAGAAAACATGTAACGAATTAGTAACAATGCAAATAAAAATGAACAGTCCAACTTCAAAGCTGTATTAAACACTTGCAGAGTCCAAAGTGTGATCCCCCAGTTAAGTTCAATAAAGATACCTAAACACAACAATTCTAGTTCTAGAGAACATAGGTCAGTGGTCAGTGGTCACTAATGTCATGTTGTCAACTAGTAAATGTACCACACTTCGACAGCACCACCCAAAGCAATTGGGTTCAAAAAATCATCATAAAAAAAGTCATTTCTGACTGATAAACAAAATTATCCAAAAACATTTATACCGGGACATGGTCCAATTCAGACAGTCTGGCAAAACTATAGGTTATACTACATTCAATAGCAGCTCCAGCCTCTAGGCATGAACTAACAACTTGTGCTGAAAACAAAGAATAAGAAAGAAGCATACCACTGCATCCATTCACCATGGTATCCAGCTGTTCCCTCCGAACCTCCAAGGGTGATGGCGGCACCGGCATGACCCCACCTGCACCAATTCACCAAACCAATGAACTAAATCAATTGTTCATACTATGTGCTGTGGCAAACAAATCAGAAGACATCACTGCAGCAGTCCCAAAAAATGATACATTATCTTTGAACAAATGTTAAGATGTAGTATTATCAGGAATGCAGAGGACAATTCAGCTTTGAAAGAACACCATAAACATACAGGGGAGCTGCGTGATGTAGAGATGCAGCTGATGCCCGTCCTTGAGCCTCCACCGCCCATCAGCGCCAGAGGCAACCAGCCAACTTGGTGGGTTGTCTGTGCCAATCTCGGCATAAATGAGGCGGAGGAGCGCACGGCGGGCGATGACCTCAGCGTGGGCGTCGTGGACGATGTCACCACGAGGTCCGAGGCGTGCTGCGCCGAGGCACTTGGTGCCAGTGGCGAGGGATAGGATGGTGGGGTTCAGTGGGTTTTCCGGGGAAGAGAGCAGGAAGGCAGCGAGGACGGTGGACTCGCGCCCCTGCGGCTTGCCCTTCTTGGGGAGGGCATAGTACTGGCAGAGGGCGGCCGAGAAGGCGGCCTCGGCCCACAGGACGCCGTCTAGCGTCTGCGGCGAGGAGGATCGGAGCATTTAGGCGAGCGCAGAGGTTACCGCCTACAGAGATCAACGAACAGTGATTCGATGAACATTCCAACTGTTAAACAAAATGAGAGTTACCTCTTATGGATCCAACCATGGAAATGACAGAAGGAAACATGTACAAAAATCGTTTGCTACACTGTGTATTTCCTGCGCTTATTTACCGGTATATTTTGGTCTGTAAATGGTAGTGGTGAGACTCACATTATTCAGTCAATCAGCGCATAGTGTCCTGAGTTAAAATTCTTCTATCAAGCTACAATAGTTTGATGCTACAGATTAAAATCAATAGATGTTATGCTAATACCAAGTTTCCTGCTGCGCTGCAATAGTTTGAAGATCCCCGAAGTTTCAGTCATGGCAACAGTAATGGAGACCAAGGGCGACTGTGCAGCAGTACGGTCGCCATGTTACCTGGAGCAGCCGGCGCCCTTCTCCCGCTCCGCCGCTCCGCCGCACGCCTTCCTCCTCCTCCTCTCTGGTCGCCGCCGATGCGCGTGGCCTCCCTGCCGCGCCGGCGCCGGTGCTCGAGTTGAATCTTCGCTCGGCTTGCGGTGGCGCGACCGGGCTCCGAGAAAGGAGCTCGGAGGAAATACGGCGGTGGGAGATCTCGGCGACGGCGAGGAGGGAGACGGCGGGGCAGTGGGGGAGACTGAAGGAGAGAGTACCAGAATTGACCGGCCAGGTGTATGCGGACATGGCTGCGGCCCAGAACCACGTGAAAGTAACAGGCCTGGCCTTACGTGAAAGTAACAGGCCCAGCCTGGTGTGTGAAAGAAGTTGACAATTATATTTAAACAATGTTACTCGAGCAGTTGAAAAAATGTTAATAATTAACTAAAAACTTAGTCAAGAATTTTATTTTTTAAATATTATCCATGTATAAAAAAATTTTAATCATGTTTTTAAAAATGTTAATCAAGTACTTGAATTTTTTAGAATGTGCAATCAAAAAATGGGGAAAATATAGTCATGCGTCTGAAAAATGTTAAATATGTGTAGATTTTTTTATGACAATGTATTGAAAATATTAAATTTGTATTTTAATAATGTTAAACATATATTATAAAAATGCATTAGATATATACCAAAAATATGCAATGGGTATGAGAAAAAGTAGCATCAAAAAATATAATTTCTCAAAAAAAGAAGTTAATTATGTATTTAAAAATTGTTTACCGTGAATATAAAAAATGTTTCAGCTGTATACGAAAAATGTTGAATGTGTACTGAAAAAGAGTTAGCATGTGTTTGACCAATAAGAAATCAATGAAAACGACAAAAAACAAATATAATGAAGAAAACCCAATAAAAACAAAAAAAATAAAAACATGGAAAATAGAAAACCCGAAGAAACCAATTGAAAAGAAAGGAGAAGGAGAAAACAAAGAAAACCAATGAAAATTAGAAGAAATAAAAGAAAACTGAACAAACAAAGAAACAAAATGAAAAAAATATTGAAAACCAGAAAGAAACAAATCAAAATGAATAAAAACAAAAAAGGGTAAAAATCAAGAAATAAATGGAGAAACCAATGAAGACAACAAAGGAAACAGAAAACCCCAAAAAATATGAAATGGACACAACATGGTGGATAAATCACACTCTACGGTCCGATTTCAATATGCATATATAGTAGCAATACTACTAAGGGCATCTCCAACGCTGACCCAAAAATTTGCTCCCGCATTCGTCCGAGAACAGGGGACCAGTCCGCGGACCCGACCGTAGCTGGTGTACATTTCAATCCGCATTTCAATAAACCGGACATAATTCATGCAAAACTGGATGGATTTCATCAAAGTTTGAATATAATATAGCGCAAATCATCCATACACAACATGCAAAAAAGTATAGTATAACAATTGCTCAAATTTAACGAAATTAACTAGATGTTCAAGAAGTTTTTCATGAACGGATTATGCCGTCGCACACATACTACCCCTTCAGCTTCATCCAACAGTAAATGTGCGTAAATGGTCGTCCCTCTATCATGTGATACATCATGGCAACGCGTACGGGCTACACAATGGATACAGCAACATTCAATGAATAAATTAGAAAGTTGAGCAAGAAGCAAAACATACGATCTCCTCGGCTGCCACGCGCAATGGTCACCTTGCCACCAACATATCAACCGCGCCACAAAACTTTGTGACGGTGGTTTGGATGGTTTACAATCGATACGATGATGACCTCACATTGTTGAACACATATGCATCAACGACGGGTCAACTCATTAACCCTGCAAAATGTTCCATTCTTTTTTTTCGATAATTGCTTGCAAGCTGTTTCAAATGAAGTAAAGAGTGTGTTGGAGATCACACAGGAGGTATTTGATCCAAAATATTTGGGTCTTCCTGTGCGAGAAGGAATGATGCATAAAGGAAGGTTTGAAACACTAAGAGCTAACATGAGTAAGAAGCTTGTGGATTGGAGTGAGAGATACATGTTTGTGGGTGACAAAGAAATTTTGATCAAGTCGGTGGCTCAAGTAATGCCCAATTATGTGATGAGTGTCTTTCGTCTACCAGCCTCAGTTTGTGATGATTTAACTCGTCTCATGAGACAATATTGGTGGGGCGTCGAGAATGGGAAGAAGAAAATGGCTTGGCTTAGCTGGGATAAACTGAGACTGCCTAATTGTAAGGGTGGCATGGGTTTTCGAGATATGAGGGCTTCCAATCAAGCACTACTGGCCAAGCCACTGGTCAAGCAGGCTTGGCGGTTGCTTGATAACCCGAACAGCTTATGCACATGTCTCTTGTGAGCTAAGTACTACCCACGAGGTAATTTGCTGGACACGGTTTTTTCCGGTAACTCTTCGGCGGTGTGGAAAGGAATTTTGCATGGTTTGGACCTTGTAAAACAAGGTCTTATATGGCGAGTGGGGACGGCTCTTTGATTAGAACATGGCGAGATCCGTAGATTCCACGTAGGCCTGAGCCTGACTTTTTGACCAATAACACCGAAGAGGAATTGTCGTTTCAATTGGGTAGCGGATTTTTGGGATGATAATGGCGCTTGGATTATGCAAAAGATTAAATGATCATTTTTGGTCAATCGATATACAAGAAATTGTGAAGATCCGACGTTCCCCCTGAACCGGATAGATTTCTTTGCTTGGTTTTCCGGAGAAGAGCGACCGCTTCACAATTAGAAGTGCGTACAGATTGGCCACGTCGGCTCATGATGAGGCCTTTGCTGCAGGTGCATCAAGTAGTATACCGAACGGCGAGCGGCCTGTTTGGCAATGTATTTGGAATGCATCAGTTCCTCGGAAAATGAAAATCATGGCTTGGAAAGCGGCATCTGGTGCACTGGCGACAAACCAAAATAAAGTGTATAGACAACAAGACGTACTTTCTCCTCTATGTGGCGTTGAGGAGGAGGGCAATTTCCATGCTCTCATTGCATGCAGTCATGCTGTTATTTTATGGGATTTGATGAGGGAACGTTGGCCTCTTCCGGAAAAGAATGTGTTGATCGACTCAGGTAAAGAATGGCTTAAGGATGTGCATGACAAAGTTATTATTATGTTAATATGTTGTATTTGGCAGCTACGTTCAGATCAGGTGCACAAGAAGGAGGTTCCGCCCCTTGAAATTTAGTATGATTACCTTGAGAGCTATATGAACTCGATTGACCAGGCCAAGCGGTACACCACAAAGGAAATATTGAAGGGCAAGATGCCGATGGAGTTTTCTCAGCCTAGGACAGTGATGGTTCCCAAGCCGACCCTGCCATGGACGCAACCCTTGGCTGGTTTTATAGCCCTCTCAGCCGATGGATCTTTTCTCTCTGATGATGGAACGACTACGATTGGATTGATTCTCAGGAAGCAGGATGAGAGTGTGATCTTTGCTGCATATAGATTTTTGTTTAATTGTAATGATGCTCTTGAGGCAGAGATCCACAGTCTCATGCAAGGCATTGTCTTCCTTTGCAACATTCAAACTTGCCAACTATTGTGCAGTCTGATTCTTCCGAGGCCTTAGCATGCTTACAAGGTGATGGACTAGGTTGCTCAGCGTATAGTCATCTGGCTGCTGAAATCCAAGCATTGATGGGAAGCCACGAGTTTATTCCACAGAAGCTTCGTAGGGAATAAAATAGGATAGCAGATCGATTGAAGACATATAATCGAACTGAGTGTAGCACTGTTGTATGGCTACACAGAGGACCCCGTGTATAGATGAGCTCTTGCCTCTTGACTGTAACCCTATCATTTTGGATTAAGACTGCTTTCTTCCTGCAAAAAAAGAGGATGCTACTATCAATTCTAAGTTTCTGAATTTTTGTTTTGAGAGTCGGACTCCTTGTTTGATAATACAATATATTTGAAGCGCCCTTTTTGCATGTGCACTGTTCAAACTAGATGATGCCCCGCGCGTTGCTGCGGACATTACAGTCCTAAATACTCTGTATAAACAATCAGCATCATGAAAGAGAGCATATATTAGCCGATTTGCATTAGTGGTTCCTCGTTCATCAAGTTGATTTACATTGTGTAAATACTAATAACGTAGTAGCACTATGATATCACAATAAAACAGTAATTGGACAATTGACTAAAATATATACAACACAAAAATGGTACTCAAACTAACGCTTGGGATGATAATGTGGCAATTGGAATCACCTGGAGATCACATTGTAACACCAAAACACACATGAACAAACGATTAGTCACAAAAAATTCTGATATTAATGAAGAGGGAAGAAGAAGGCAAAAATTGTGAAAAATGGAAGACCAATGATGAAGCAAACCCTTTAGGATAGCATGTTGATCATCAGAGACGACTCCTTAGCTACATGTTGTATCGTCTTTCAATACAAAAGAGATGCCACATTAATAAGTAAAATATCCGGGAAATTGTGTGATACTAATATACGATATCTCAAATCAGGTGATGAAAGAGTTCTTAATATCTTACTAGCAAAAGAGCCCGTGCGTTGCAACGGGAGATTTTTTTTCATAATCTTCAATG